ACATACGCAATGTACTATATAAGAAACGAACAAACAAAACAAAAGAGAGAAACACAAAATAGGGGAAAGAGAGGAAGCTATAAATATTATGTAATAAATTATTATTATTGTTACCGATCATCATTGCAATGATTATTACATCCACTACCGCATAAATGAAAATAAAGAAACACTAAGCAGCAGATTAAACGACAAGAAGATAAACTAAGACGTAAAAAAAAAAGCAAATGAGACAACAGATTACACACACATACACACACAAATATACATATAAAGTATGCATAGTGGTCAATAACGTGTTGCAAGATATTAACGATGTAACGTTTTAAAATTGTAAAACGCGAGAAAGGGTTAAACTAACCGACAAACCGACCCGTAGACAGTATGAAACACAATGACGATGCTTGAAAATGAAATAAATAATGTTGCCTCTCTGACAATTCGCTTCGCAATTCGGATTGAATATTTTTCGAAACACAGGGGGAGAAAGAAGGGAATGCAAAAATATCGAATTGATATTAGCACACACCGACCGAATTGTATTATTTTTCTAGCTGTTGGCGTGTATGTTTTAACGGTGTTATTCTTTGAAAGTTTAACGCGACTGTTGAATTTGTCTGATATATTAGCGTATATTCGTAGCCGGAGGGAAGAAACGTTCGGTTTTGAGAGAATATTTTCTGGACCAGTGGCTCCTGAACTCGAATATCATTATTATACATTAATATCATTATCCGCGCGAATATTGTTATATTGTCTCTCTCTTTTGATTTTTGAAACGTACGAAATACTCCTCCCCCCCCCACCCCTCCCCGTTCTCTCAGTTCCTGTCCAATTCTTTATACTGTCGAGTGATTTAAAAACTTTTAACGCATTCGAGTTTCGAAATTTTATCTTCCGCAAGGCGATTGTCACGTTTCCAAATGAACGGAAAGGGAAAGATCGATAGAGGAGATCCAGGAACCACTGTTCCGCGTGTTAACTCAATTGAACTCATAGAATCGCATCTGTTAACAAATAAATACTCTTCTTTAAACAATTAAATGAACGCTCTGAGAGTCTAATTTATAAACTTATAGCAACGTTGCTTGTTACTTTGAAGTATTATATATATATATAATGTATACACACAGAGGAACACACATTGACGTATACACTATATCACCGACGAACACATACGTTACGGAGAGTAG